AAAGGTTTGAAATGCATTAGTTTCAGCAAACACCGCTGACTTCTTTAAATTTCTAGAAATTTAATTTATTTGGGATAGAGAGAAGATTATTACCGATTAAGTGAGGGCGATATATATTTGATTAATTAATTCTTTGAGGTAACATGTCGTAATTTCCTAAATATCCACGTTAATTTTCTTATTTTATCATTCATAAATTCTACCTGAGAATGCCAACTCAAACGCCAATCCAAGACAACACCTAAGTACTTGGTAGATATAATTCTATTAATAGCAGGACATTCACAATTACTATGGTCAGTATTACCACAGCGACGAATTTTCAGAAGGAAATCATTATTATTTTTGGATGGGTCCTGCTATTGATGGTGGTACATATGTACTTTGATATTGCGGTGTTCAATATGAGCAGATTGCCAACATTGGAGCCAAGTTGCTACTTTTGTAAGTGCAGATTCGGCATTTCTAAAAACTCTTACGTTGAGCCCGCAAACATGATTGCAGTATCGTCAGCATATGAAAAAATGCTGCCACCTTCTATATATAAGTTTGTTAAATCGTTAATATATATTAAGAACAATGTAGGGCCCAGCACGCTACCTTGAGGGACACCAAAGGAGATCCTTGAGTATTTGCTAATGTAACTGTCAATTTTTACTCTCTGTCTTCGGTCACACAAGTAGTCCTTCAGTAAGTTCAATGGAACATCTATTAGAAATAGCTATTTGCTGCTCGTCGCGACATCTGGTGCACCAATAGGTACTCTGCCGTCCGCTAACTACATTGAGTATATAACCAGAAATAGAAACGAAATGTCATTTAATTTGTTTGAAAACTATTCTGCCATATCATTACTGTGACAACTGCGCTCCGATTGGCTGGCCCGAGTTCGAAACAATTGACGGGTGTTGTCAATTCAATGGGTGTTGTCAATTGCTTCACTTCAAACGAACCAGTTAACTTGAGCTTTGCTATAGGTAATGGACGAATGTTGCAAAATTACATATTAATTATTTAATTACCGATGAAATTTGATTCCGTTTGTTTTGTAATTAGATGTTTTGCTATTTTTCCCCACACCACCGAATGGACACGCAGCTGAGTTGATATTTATAAGTGATGTATCACTGATGAGTTACCAGTAATGTATGACCCTTATTTTGGTCTCTATTTCTGGTTATATAAACCAAGGCAGATAATTCAGGGGCTGTTGAGTAACAGAGAGCATATAGACTACGCCAGCTTTTCTCTTAATATTAATACCAAAACAAAATACCTGATTGACAACAGTCCTCTCAGCTTCCCCCAGCGGGAAACTGTGTGCTGTGTCGTGCAACAGCTTCGTAGCAGCAGCGACGAGGCTTGTCACCGTCGGATCTGAGGACCTGATCTCCGCCTCGTTCGCCCCGAGAAGCGTCTTCACCTCGTTTAGTCGACGGTCGCGCAGGCTGATCGCTGCGCGGAACGACAGCTGGAAATTAACGAAACAAAACTTGTTAAACTCTAAACACGAATAACAATTCGATAACCAAATGATTAAATCTCACTACGAGTAACATCAGTTCCACTTGTCACTGACCGCGACGACGTGATGTCTACCTGACTTTCTTTCATTGAGTTTATAACTAACAAATGCTCGGTGTCTGGGACAAAAGGACAAAACAATTTCTATGTCATTCATTGATGATGAACCTGCAAAAGGAACTTATATATGGAATTGTGCATTAAGTATGGCATATATATAGTATGTTGAGTCGAACTAGGATTCCTAATATGAATCCCCGTTTATCAATACTTTCTGTATAAACGACCGTAACTATAAAATGCCGTTTTTATATATGCGCCATGAATTCAAATTATTATCATTACCACCCACTGATGTGCATGGGAGTTTCCTGAAAACAATAGCATGTTAAAACTTACAACAACAACGGAGAAGACAATCTTGTATTTCAAATGAGGTGTTTGCCGCAGAGGTTCGAGGGCGCCCAACGCTGGCAATACCTCCTCAGCAGCACGAGCCCAGACTGCAGCGTACTGCGTCACCAACTTGCTCCTTAAAAGACAAATTTACAAGATGCATTACTACCGTTTATAATATTTAATCTGAATCATGTGCACATATATCTTAGTATGTCTTCTTTACAGCTCTTTGCCTCATGCACCAGTTTTTATTTAAGCAATGATTCCATTTATATTAGATATCACAAAGGTAAAGGTATCCGTGTGAAGTCAAACTTTTGATACGGATTCACTGTCTTTGATTTGCTTTGCAAAGACTTACCTGTCAGGCTGTTGATGCGAGTCATCGCTATCAGAGTGGTACCCGTCGCTGGCGGAGTCGGGCTGCGAGCGCTCGCTGTGACGCGACTCGGAACTGCCTCCGTCGCTTTCGTTCATTTGACTGAGCACCGCTGCGCACCCGCGCGAGTAGCTCATCAGCACTCCTGCTACGGGCCTGGAAGTTAATGCATACTTGCGTCATTTACGAGACTATAATAACAGTACAGAGTACTAACAAAAGCGACCTCAAAAATCCCTTCATCCTCTAGTTTGCCGCACTGGTAGTGGAATATTTTCTTCAAATTTAAATGGCGCCTCTTCTGAGATAACCACATACAAAAAAAACGGTTAAAAATGATTAGAAATTTCGATACAAACAATGGAAATGAAACATTATTTTTCTTTTTCAAACAAAATAAGGTAATTAAACTTAAATTTTTGCAACTACAGTCCAGAATAGGAAGGTTTTACCTTTTTCTGCCGCCAAGCAGTAATGCCTGCATTGCTTAGTTCCGGTTTCGGAAGGGTAAGGGAGCCGGTAAAATTACAGGCACATAGTACTTGTCTACTTATGTCTCAGGGTGACGTGCGCAATTGCAGTGCACCTCAGATCTTTGCGACTTAAAGCTCGGAGTGGCACTGCAACTGTTATCGACTAGCGCGTAGTTTACCATCAGGTACACGACTTCTTCGTCCCGTCATTTATAATTATAAAAAATAAGTCTGCTTTAATATTAGACGTAACTAGTATCATTGGTGACTAATACCAGTTAGCCGTGATTAAGGGACATGTATAGAGCCAGAAACGTTGGTTTTGTTTAGAAAACAAATATTCGCGACTTAAATTCGAAAAGATAGTGACATTTCCAGTTTCGGTTGCGTTAATTATCGCCAGAAAGAAAATAAAAATGAATAAATGAATGAATGAATGAATGAATGAAATTGATTTGCTTAAAATATGGTTTACAACAGGTGGTACAAGTATACATAATAAAACAGTACTCATATTTTACCGCTATCGGCATGCAAATCTATGAAAGTCAACATATTGGCAGCTAAACAATTCTAAAGCAAGTCCTATCATGCATATAGATAATATATTATAATAGTAAGTTATTGCCATGTCATGAAGATGTCAAAAAATATAAATACATTTCTTATCAAATAAGTTAAGTGGTCAAATTTATTGAGAATTATATGTAAAGAAGTCACTAATTGAATAGAATTTTTTTTCTCTTAGCCATGACATCAGTGACGTTTAAATCGAAGATTATTATTTATCATTTTTATATCAGAGGGTAAAGATTATATATCCTCACACACATAGCTCCGCACCATTCCTGGTAGTAACTTAGTTTAGTATAACTATTACAAACTAATCTGTCTGGACCCCTTACATTTATATTGTGAATGGCTCGCGTTTTTTTAAAAAGTTTATTATTATTTTTTACAAAATTGGCTACTTCAAAGATTTTTAAGATTTAAATAACGGTCTATAAGATTCTCGGGGTCCTAAACCACACATTCCCCGTACACATTTTTTTTGTGCTGTAAATAATTTACTTACTTCTGTTGAATTACCCCAAATCACAAGTCCGTATCGAAGTAACGATGCAACGTAACCATGAAAGGCCTCTAGAGTCGTAGACATAGCGGATTTGTCTCGCAAGCTTTTCAAAACACAAACATAACGATGAAGATTATTTATATAATATAATGTAAGCTAGAGTATCGTAGTAAGAAATATGTGTCAATACATATTTCAAGGATTATGTATATTGTGAATTGACCAAACTGTTACCTGCACTTTAAACTACATAAAAATCAACTCCAGGGGACCCATTGAGCTTACACCGTTCCAATCTACGTATTCCCGAGGCAAATATCAACCTGCATTCTTGTCAGAAGTTATTGTCTCACAATTGTGTTGCTTTTAATAAACATTCCGCCGTGAGAAGCTTAATCTATTCCATATAATAACGGAAACCGGGAATTCGATTGAAAAATTTCTGTCAATTTGTTACTTAAGGTATAAGACTACCATGAACTGAGTTCAAATTGTTTTAACCATCATGAAGAAATATTGCATATACTTTAGACTGATTAATATAATGTCTGACCACATTCTACCGAAATAAATAACACTTTGTTATAATTAGGTATTTAAATATTAAATTAATAATAAGTGTAACCTTGCCTATTTCTGCCGCCAAGCAGTAATGTGAGCATTACTAATAAATAAAATAACGCACACACTCAACATAGCCCCGCACTACGGCAGACCCTGTGTCGCGGGTGCCATGGACACACACACAGACAACCACAAATTACACCCAAACTCACGAGAGAAATAATTGTAGGCCATACAACTATTTCTCCCGGCCCGAGAATCGAACCTGGGACCTCTGCGTGGCATAGTAACCGTTCGGCCACGGAGGCAGTTAAACTATCAGTATTACTGCGTGCCGACTTTGAAAAATAAGGGTGCTGGTGTAATTACAGGCACATGGGACTTGTCAACTTTATACCTCGGGGTGATTTCTTTGTCCTCGACTTTTTTTTTTTTTTTTTTTTTTTGTGACTCGGCAAAATGACTGCACCGCGCCTGATGGAAAGTGCGAATACAGTCCAGAGATGAGAGTAACGGATGGAAAACACAAATATTTTCACTCCGTTCCTTCGCGTTTGGATACCACTTAACATCAGGTGGAGTGGAGTCATTTGCCTGTCAGGTATTAAAAAAAAAAAAAAAATCATTTTGCCGGTCTGGCTAAATGCTTCTTCACACTACGTTTGAAGGACCCGATGTTATAGACTTCATAAATCGACTCTACATAACAATGTGTGGTCATAACAATACATTAATACGATAATCGCTTGAGCTGCTTGCATATGATTTCGTTGGAAAAATTAAGGTGGATGAGTGATTTACGTACACTGCATAAACTGGCTAATAGACTGTCTGAGACGGTCGCTTGCTACAGATGTTGCTGTTCAGAGTTCCGTCTCGGTCTGAGCGTAATCAACTATTATTCAGTACAGTACTTACAAAAAATAATGTATCATATAACCTCAGTACAGAGTAAAAAACCGACCTCAAAAGGTCGTGGAATTATACCTATTCGCCAAGTTTTATTGAAATCGGTTACCGGAAACTGCGCGAAACCGAATTCATCCCCTAATTTGCCACCCTTAGAGGTGGAATACTTTCTACAAATTTAAATGAAGTCACAAGGTACCCCCTACAAACAAGACTCATAAAATCAAGTACAAAAAAGAATCATCAAAATCGGTTCACAGTGGCCGGAGTTATCGGGTTACATATACATAAAAAAAGAAAAAAAGAACAGCATACAGACGAATTGAGAACCTCCTCCTTTTTTAAAGTTGATTAAAAATAATTCTCTGTACAGGATATGTGGGTATTACAAGGAAACATGTACTAATTTGTGATGTCATTAACTACTGTGTCCCTGCATCTAAGAGGTCACTTCTTGCATTGTTGTAAGGTGAATTACGTATTTTTTTATCGAGTTCTTAGGTTTTCGCGATTGTTGCATATAGGAAAGGAAACTATTTTTCCGGATTTAAATCGTCAAATCAGTCGACCGTGGCCTTGGGACCTGTAAAGGGCCCGAAACGTTGGTTTGTTTGAAAATATATATAATATAGTATACCTACTTTTGAATGTTGATCAAAATGATACTCGGGCATACAGATATGCTTACGGTGTTTTAAAGTTTTAAGTGTATTTTTTTCCGTATTTGTTTGTGTCTGCTATTGTGCCATAAATAAAAAAATAAAAGATTTTATCGAGTTCTTATGTTTTCGCGATTGTTACACATAGGAAATGAAACTATTATTCCGGATTTAAATCGCGTATATTTGTTTTTTCAAACAAACTGACATTTCGGGCCCTTTACCGTGACCATGGGACCTGTAAAGGGCCCGAAACGTCGGTTTGTTTGAAACAACAAATATACGTGATTTAAATCCGGAAAAATTGTTTCATTTCCTATAAAAAACTTTCTTTCAACTATCAACATTTCAACCAATTTTTACATGCTCCCTGTCTCTATCTTAAACTGTTCTCACGGGAATCTGCCTTCCGAATGAACATTAGCGCGGAGAGTTGACGTGCCAATGATAATTCCACTTCCGACATTCCGGCACGTCTTAATTCAAGCTATGTAATTAAATAAAGTAGTGTAAGATAATTATGCAATAAGCATATCATTAATTTGTATAAATTACCTAGTTCCCCAAATATAATAAAACCGCTCATCTATCAACCAACACGATATAATCTATCTTCATCTCATTATGGAGATAATACACGTGTGATTTGTTTAGTATAAAATTTTTCTTAAACATGCTCACAAATGTTTGCATTACTTTCAAAAAATGAAGACGGAATCTTTGTCTTTTACAGACCATGAGACTTCTTCCCGGCCAAGGCCTGCAAAGTCAGTTCCCTAAACTTTTAACTCTACCTACTAATAATGAACTATGTAAACAGGCAAAAGAAAAACTCAAATAGCCAACTGCTGGTTCATAATTGCGAAAATTAAAAATTCTGCCTGTATCGCTTACTTAAAAAAAAAGAAAATGGCGGTAACATTTAAACTAAGGTGTTTTGGTATTCTTTTGTTTTTGCGTCTTCTTTATATTTTGTTCGCGAAAATGAGTGCTAGTGAGAAGAGCGATAAGGAATAATAATAATAGATATACATTCAAACACATTATCAGATGTTCAGCAGACTACTATTATTAGTGTGACTGGAAAAACAATAACATTATCTTTTAGCAATTGTCCTAACACGTCAAATATTACTTTTAATATTAATTAATATTTTTTTACTTTTTCTATTACTCATTTTCCTATGTATTAATAGGCCTCGCTGGCGCTCGTCCTTCTAACTCACACTCGTCCAGCAATCCCTTACTTTTCGGCCTCTGCAATAATGTACTACTTGTAGCAGTAGAGCTCCTTGTGATAGAGTTCTTCCAGGGAAGTACTGTACCTATTTCTGCCGCGAAGCAGTAATAGGAGCATTATTATATTCCGGTTTTAAAAAGGTAAGGGAGCTGGTGAATTTTCAGGTACATGGGACTCCACCACTTACGTCTCGGGGTGACGAGAGCAGTGGCAGTGCCCCTCAGTTTGTGCGATTT